ATTATTAAAAACTGTTAACAATTTAACTTGAATGTGTGCATGTGGTAAATTAATCCTATTCCTAGTCACATCCTTAGAGAATAAACTCACTTTAAGTAAGAATTGGCTATGGGGGCAGTTAGGACTCTACATAAGAAGACCCTTAGGGCACGGTGCTTGCTCAGAACCCTGAGCATCTGGGATGCAGAATGGGGTGTGCAGTAAAGAGGGGATTTGACTATGGAGCAGGCATGTTCTAAACACTTCACTATGAGGCAAGTTCTATCATGTCCATTGTACAAAGGAGGTAATGGGGTCCTAAAAGGGTTAAGTTAGCTGCCAAGGAGAAAAGATATTTGAGAAGGAACTTGACTTGGAGACCAGTAGTTGAGATGCAGAAGCCCTGATCATATGCTAGGGGTGCCACCTCCTATGTAGTGGATGGAGAGGAGAAAAGAGAGTGAAGGGACACTGTGGCATATGTTACCTGGTGCCTCTGCCTTCCCAATATCTATTCTCCCCTTTTCTGTACTAGCAGAGCCACCTTTTTTGGGGGGGAGGGGACGGGGATGGAAGGAGCAACAAGCCCTGTTGAAAATGCTCATTGCCCTATATATACTTCATCTGATCAGTTCTGGTGAAGCAGATATCTATCAGCAGCACATCCTAACATTGCTTTCTGTGAAAGTTACTGCTTTTCTGTAAAACAGAAATCAGCTAGCACTTGCCTTTTTCCTTTACTTTTCCCCTTCTTTCTGCCTAAAATGGAATCATCTACTGGCAGAGGTAGAGCGTTGATACTGTGGGTGTAAGACTGACAATTCCATGCTGAGGATAGCAGAGCAGAAAGAGAAAGCTGGTGCCATTCGAGATCTGACATTAATACTGGATTTTCCACCTTTTTACTTTTTATGTGAAAAAATATGAACCCCTATTTGGTTAAGCTACTGTTTCTATTCCATGTGTTCAAGTGTAATCCTAATAAATAAGGAGAATAAACCTACTAAAATAGAAGAATAAACCTACCTTTTGCGGAAAATACCATATGGCCTGAGTGTGGCACTACATGGTAGTGGGTACACACACAGCTCTATGCCACGTGCTTCCACTGTGAGGCGTTATTCTGTTCCCTGTGGTGACTCTACATGGGCACAGACCCACCCTTATAATTTCACAAAGAATATAGTTCAGCAATGACATTACAACAAGGGTTAACAAACCACAGCCAGCCAAATCTGTCCTCTGCCTTGTTTTTGTACAGACTATAAGCTGAGAATGTGCATTCTATTTTAAAGCATTTAAAACACAAGAATAATATTCAACAGAGATCACATGGATTCATGAAATCTAAAATATTTACCACCTGGTTCTGTATAGAAAAAGTTTGCCGGTTCCTGAAGAAGGACAGGGCAGAGTCAATGTGCAAATTATCACAACTTTCCAGGTTGCAATTACCCTCTTATAAGGCCATTTTTATTCTCCTTTGTTGGCCAGTGAGTCATCTATCGAAAATATGATCTATAATTAATGTGCCCGCTAAATAATTTTCTGACTGGGAAGTAGGATAGAGTAACAGGAAGGAAGGAGACATAGCAGCACCAATTCAGTCCTGGCTTAAAAAGAAAGAACCAGTTTAAAGTACATTAAATTCAATTTCTCAGAAAATATCATACATCAGCTGGAGCTGATTGTTGGAAAGGAAGTATCATTAAGCATTCAACAGAAAATCCTAGAAGGGATTAAATGTTGAACACTTCGAAATAAAAGTGCCTTTCAAGAAAATTTTCCAGCCACAGGTGGTCCCAAGCTTTCATTTCACAAATAAATGTCCCCACTTTCCATTTAAATTCTTGTCACACACAACTCGAGACTAACAACCGAACTGAAAGCCCTGAGTCAAAGGATGGTGATTTGATTTCCCTGATTTTCTATTCTCATGTCCTCATAGGGCTTGAAGATGATTAGCCATTTATTTAGACACTTGAAGTTACTTCAAATAATGTGGAGAAATCTAGACTTTCATTTTTAATATAAGGCTAAAGAATACTTGCTCATATCAAATGGTAAATTATAAATTATGAAAGTTATCCGTTTTCATATTTTAGAAACCTCATCTTGGTTGTTCTGTATGCAGGTTTATTTTCTAAGCATTTCAGTCATCAGCATTTCACAACAAAAGCTTTTCTTCTTCCTTGACAATATCCCCCTTTTTTCCTATAAGAATTTTGTCATCATTTCAGAGCTTTTACAATGTTGTAATAAATTCCATGTTGTATTGGTTTTCTTATCATATTAAAGGCGAAGTGGATTTAGGAAAAATAAGTGTATTGCTTCAACTGTTTTCATCTAATATTTTGTAGATACACGTACTTCCAACCAAAATGTATAACATACATTTGTTCATATTCTGAGCACAAAATCACCCTTCCTAATAATCAGTCTTTATGGTTTTAGATTTCTAGTATTTATCTTTCACATTGAATGTGTACATTAATGTCATAAAATTTTGCATTTTATGGATATCAGTGATGACTGAATATGAATGATGTAAAACAACACATTATAAAGCACTATGATTAGAAAAATGGTAATTGTGAACATCTGGGTAAGCAATTTAAAATTCAAAAGTCTTATATGTTTTATAAAGGGTTTTTTCTATGCTTGTCCAGATTTCAATTGGTATTATCTGAAACCATTGATGGGAAACAGGCTAATTACATGTAGATCCAAGTATGTTGTCCAGATTAAATGTCCAGGTAGAAAAATAGTTACTTCTCTTTCTTTGTTATATGACTACATTGATATAACAATAGTTTTAGTGTTTCCTTTAAGGATATTCAGCAATTTTGATTTTTGAGAATAGAATAAGAATGGCCAAAATAAAGAAATATTTTTAAATCTAATCCATCAAATGTTATTGGAGAAGAAAATAGCTATATACTTAAAAGCTGATAAAACCGAAACCAGTTTGGCTCAGTGGATAGAGCGTCGGCCTGCGGACTCAAGGGTCCAGGGTTCGATTCCGGTCAAGGGCATGTACCTGGGTTGCGGGCACATCCCCAGTGGGAGATGTGCAGGAGGCGGCTGATCAATGTTTCTCTCTCATCAATGTTTCTGACTCTCTATCTCTCTCCCTTCCTCTCTGTAAAAAATCAATAAAATATATTTTTTTAAAAAAAGCTGATAAAAATGTCTTGAGTAGGTAAGAATTTCATTTTTAAAAATGAGCAGAAAAACTTATTTTTTTAACCCACATGCGATTTCTAATTTGAGGCCTCAGTCTGCTGAAGCCCCTAATCTCTGAATTGAAGGACCCACCTTTTCCAAAAACCAAGGTGGTGTCTATTTTATGGGCAGGGTGGATATTCAAAATATTTAAGAACATTGTGGTGGAGACACTGACCATTCAGAGCAAATGTCCAATCAGTCAGCTGTCAAACACACCCTGGTCCACTGATGTGGCCTTCCTGGGTATCAGCCGTGTTCTAGAAGCAGGAATTCAGTGAGGGCGGGTAGCAGAGTATTTGTCATTTACACAATTTGACATTTACTCTAAGGTTTTCTCTCCCAGGGCTTTAGTTTTGACCATCCAGGTCCTGGCTCCTGTTCTATACCACAAATCCTCTCCAGTCTGATTCTCTGACTCATCTCACTCTTGAGCACAAAGAGACACCATCATTCTCTATTCTTCACCAGCATCAGTCTAGGTAAGCTGTCCAGTCATTTTTTTCTCAACTGTTTTTGCATTGAGCCAAGTACACAGCTCCATAGCATCTCACCTTCAACCTGGCTTTCCTGCATATGGATAGCAAAAATATATCTCATGTTTCTGTAATTTTTTCCCCATCAGGAATTTGTTGGGAGGATCAGGACAGAAATGCAACACTCCAGTACCAACATTCAATAATTATCCTTTTATTCTGATTATGCTATGAAAATCCTCCCAGCTAATGAGGAAAGAACTCCTAGATTACACTTAAAAAGGAGAGGATGAAGCTTAAAAATAATATATATATCATATACATATAATATTAATCATATATAATATGATTTCATATGGTCAGAGCATTATATATAACCATATATAATGATTTATTAATAATCATAAATAATGACTTAATAATCATATATAATATGATTTCATATGGTAAGAGCATTTATTAATAATCATAAAAATTTTCTTTTCACATTACTGTGCTATCTACACCCCTAGGCACAATTATGAGATATATTCCCATTTTTAAACAACTTTATTAAGATAAAATTAACATATAATTCAACCCTTTTAGTATGTAAAATTCAATGTTTTAAAATACATTAACATAACTGTGCAACCATAACTGCGATCCCATTTTAGCATATTTGAATTTCACCAAAAAGAGAGCCCATGCTCATTAACAGTCAGTCCTTATTGCCTTCTACTATATCCCTCATCTATTCTCTGTGTCTATATATTTGCCAATTTTGGATCTTTCATATGAATGACATCATACCACACGTGGTCTTCTGTGACTGGCTCCTTCCCCTTAGCCTTTTTCCATGTGTCATGTATGAGTACTTCTTTTTATTGCCAAATAATATTCCTTTGTATGAATTTACACATTTGATTTCTACATTAGAGTTTGTTTCTATTAATCTATTTTTTCTCTTTTCATGCCTATGTGTTCCTCTCACTCAAAATGTGTGAGATAAATTTTTGGAGAGGGTCTTATTCCCTTTTAGTGCTGTGTTTCAAAGGATTATTTTCCTCTTCAAGTCATTTTTCTCTAGGAGTAACACAATCACCTTGAAATAATTAACCTTGCATCTTCTTCCCTACATAAGTCAGTTCACGCTATGAAATTGCATTTTGTGCTTTCATTCACATAGTCATTTTAAAGGAAACATAAATGAAAAGTTTCGAGTTTCTCGGGCTCGGTGGAAAAAAAGAATCAACTACAACATCAGCCAACCGTGAAACAACTGACATTTAGCTTCACATGTAAAGTAAATCTGAATGGCAGGAAAACCTTTCTACTCACAGGTATCTAAAGACTCGTCTGAATCATCAGGGCAGTCAGGGTCCCCATCACACAGCCAGCTCTGGGAGACACAAGTCACATGATCGTGGCAAAGAAATTCACCAGGATCACAGGACTGCTGATCTGAAAATGAAAATGTTTCAAAATAAAATATGACTGATCTGAGCATGAACACAAGAGCAGTACAAAGATGAAATGTGAGAAACCAATACATAAAAGGTACATGAATGTGATCCACATTTTCTATTCAGCTGCAAAGCTAAGCCAATTATTTTCTTAATTATAGCCTCTCTGCTCAAGTCCACCTTATTGATAGAATTGACTTTGATGTAGTCTCACACAGTCTGTTCTGGAAATTGTTATGAATTCTGTTTATTTTTTGTGACTAGCGGTTTTGTCATACTAGATAAGGCACATAGAATCCCACCAAGTGAGTTTATAGATGTTGACATTTTGAACACAGACATATTCCTCCTTTGTTCCAAAAAAAACACACCTGTAATAAATGATAACTAGTGTACCTAAACCGAAACTCTGCATGTTTAGTTCTTAACTTTCCATACTAATGCCATAGCTTCATGTCTCTAGACTAATTAGATGCCTAATCTCATAATATTTTCTTGTCCATTTTGCTAAAACTTTCCAGGTGACAGCTTCGGCTGCTGAACAGCAAAAGTGATAGTACACTTCCATAAAGTTTTGCTGTAACTCAGATTTCTACACTCGGTTGCATCCAAAATGCCCATTATGTTCTTTTTACGTTTTAGAATATTTAGGGCCTTCTTCATATCCCAGCAAACTCATCAGATGTTGTTTCTTTGCAATATACTTACTTATACTTACTTATACACTATAAATCAATTCAATAAAAATATTTCATTTTTATATTTTAACTGGAAAATAAACATTTCTTAAAATAAATGACCTTCAAATGCAATGGAGTGCTGACAACACCTTAGTCCTTTGATACCACTTACACTTTTGTCATGTATATACAGGGATGATTCAATTATTTTTAAAATCCATAAATAAATAGGTATTTCAATATATATCAAATGAAATTTATAAGTGATATGAAAACATTGAACCGTAACTTAATTGGCACTTTTACCTCAGAAATTACAAAAGAATGATGATCTTCCATGCAATGGTTTGATAAAATATGGTATACCTTTCCTTTCTCTTCCTCAATGTCTTTCCTCCCATCACAACATAATTTTCAATAAATATACATTACAAACCCACATCTTTAATCTATAGACATTGGTATAAACTATAGATATTTCCTGAAAATTAATATTATCTTATCCTATTATATTTTCAACACACCATCAATGCCACACTCCATACCACTGCTATCATATTGCTATTTTTTACATAAAACAGTTAAGTTCTTAATTATATTCTGTATTTGGCCCTAGACTCAGTGCTAAACAATCAAAGATTCTTTGCCTTCAAGGATCCAGCAGACTACCATGCCAACAGATCCAGGAATAAAAGAAAAGTACTTTGTATACAAAAAGTTGTCAACTAAGTGATTTAAAAAAAAAAAGCTGCTAAAACAGCGGTTCTCAAACTGTGGGTTGCGACCCCTTTGGGGTTCGAACGACCCTTTCACAGGGGTCGCCTAAGACCATTGGAAAACACATATATAATTACATATTGTTTTTGTGATTAATCACTATGCTTTAATTATGTTCAATTTGTAACAATGAAAATACATCCTGCATATCAGATATTTACATTATGATTCATAACAGTAGCAAAAGTACAGTTATGAAGTAGCAACGAGAATAATTTTATGGTTGGGGGTCACCACAACATGAGGAACTGTATTAAAGGGTCGCGGCATTAGGAAGGTTGAGAACCACTGTGCTAAAAGGAGAGAACACAAAGTAGAAAGAGATAGAGATTAATCAAAAAATAGTTTTGGGATGTAAGCATAACTTTAAAGATGGAGAGGATATGAATAAATGAAGAGTAAATATAGGACACTCCTGACAAGGATGTGAAAAAAAATTGCTAAGACAGTAGCTATTAAATGTATTTGAGACAAATAAAAGTTTTCTACTAAAATTAAGATGACATTCAGGTTATATAACCTGGGTTTTCTCCACCAAACATTATGTCACATGTATAAGTGTGTTCCAATGCTAAGGGACGGCAACTTAAATGTTGCTTAGAAAGTCCCATAATTTCTACAGTTCATAACAGGATAAAACTCAAATTATTTTGCTTATAAAGAGATGCTATAATTTATCAGCAAACAAGGATGAGTTCTGATAGTATAGAAAAATTTAGTAATAATTATACCGAGACAAAATGTATAAACCAATTCTGTCCCAAAAAAACCAGAATACATTTTCAATGTACCTATAGCTACTGTGCAGTTGATGTATGATCTCAAATGCCAAGTTTTCTCTTCCTTCATTCCTCCCAAACTATAACAAATTGCTATGAGGAGAGGGGGAAAGAGATAGTACCTTACTAAACGCCATTGCATAGTGCCTGACTCAGTGAATAATCAATAACTACTGACTGGAAGTAAAAAGAAGTAAAAAGAACCATAAAGAACAATTTATCATGTTGGAAAATAGCACCACAAAAACATAGGTCAGGGTCAGTAATGAAGGACCTTGATTACTGTAGAAAGCATTTTGTAGATCATTTGAAGCCATGAAAAAGTACTTAAGAAAGTATATTTATTATAAAATATGGTACAAATTCGTGTGTAGGCTATTGTAATTATCTAGAGACAAGTTCAAGATGACTGAGCTAAAGTAGTAGGAACTAAAATGAATATTCTGCTCCACATAGTGTAAGAGTTAAAACTGATGAATAAAATGGTTGAAAAGCTTAAAGATGACTCAAAGTAAATAGCCTCAGAAACTGATTAGATAGTATCTCAAAACCAAGGTAGGACATAGAAAAAAAAAAACCTCTGTGTTTGTGCGTGTGTGTTTAAATGTACAGTCATGTGGGCATAAAATAATAATAGTAGAGATAATAGAGGAAATAATTAATTTATTTATAGTGCTTTTTAACTAAAAAAAAATGCCACCTCCAATATCTCAATTTGTACATTTATTTCTTTTTTTTAGCAATTATTATTGAGCTTCTACTACTAGGCCCTGCAGATACAATGGTGGGGGGAAAAACAAAGGAGAAGTTCTTGGCATCATGGGGCACATTATGGTGGGGAACAAAAACAATCTAAATGAGTTAATTATATAGAATATTAGGAATAAGCCCTATGGAGAACAGTAAAACAAGATGGGGATTAAGTGTTGGAGACCGGAAGGATGGAGGTAAATTTCAAATAAGTTAGAGAATCTGTCAGTGAGAAGGTGACATTTGAATAAAGGCTTATGGAGGTGAGAGTGACATCCATTTGAATAAAAGGTCATGTGCTAAGCACTTGAAGCAAGAGGGAGCTCAGCAAAGTAAGGAAAACTGAGGAGGGCAGAGTGCTGGGAAAAAATGACAGGATGAAAAACCGAAGTCAGGGATTTGGGGAAGATCGGGTTGAGGGTGGCACATGAAGGTTTTGAGTTTTGCTAAAAGCCAAGATGGGAAACCATTGGAAGGTTCTGAGTAGAGAGACACAATCTAACTCACTTTTTGTTAAAGGTTCACTCTGTCTACTGCATTGAGAATAGAGTACAATGAAGTGGGAAGATCACCGAGGATGTTATTGCAGTAACAGGTGAGAGAGATGGTTGCGTGGGCAAGTGTGTTGGGGAAATGAAGTTTCACGACAGTATTTGATGAGGAAACTGAAGTCAAATACCTTGCTCACCATTTCATTACATGTCAAAATCTTGAATTCAGGTTTTGACCTCAAATGTATTACTTGCCAACTGTTTTTGTAATATCCTGAGTATGATGTACTTGGGAGACATTCAAGTATAAATATGCAGCCTGGCCAGTGTGGCTCAGTGGTTGAGTGTCAGCCTATGAACCAGGAGGTCACAGTCCGATTCCCGGTCAGGGCACATGCCTGGGTTGTGGGCTGGTCCCCAGTGTAGGGTGTGCAGGAGGCAGCCGATCAATGATTCCCTCTTGTCACTGGTATTTGTATCTCTCTCTTCCTCTCCCTTCTTCTCCAAAATCAATAAAAATATATATTTTTTAAAGAATAAATATGCATTAGACAGTGATATATTTAAGCCTGAAATTCAGGAGAAGCATCAAAAGTGGAAACACAGAACAGAACTGAAACTGTAAGAAGACAGTGAAAACATGGGAATAGGTGTAGCTGAAATTAAAGTGGGGAATTAATGTGTGTGTGGGAGAGAGAGAGAGAGAGAGAGAGAGAGAGAGAGAGAGAGAGAGAGAAGCATAGGTCAAGCAAGGAGACAGAGAAGACAAAGTTTAGCCAGAAATAGGAAAGGCGAAGGGCAAGGGGAAAGGAGAGTCATTAAAAATATGTGGAATTTCAATAACTGGATTGAGGAAGGGGATCACTGGTGACAAAATTCAAGTATGATGAGTTCTGAAAAGATGGCATAGACTTGCAGGCTGAGGTAAAGGTCCCACTGAAGAAAGAGAGAGACGGAGGCTCAGGAAGGATATGAAAGTGAAGCCCTTTCCTAAGGAAAACTCATGGGGCTGCAATGAGAACCTAAACAATACTGGGGGCAAAAAAGAAAGGATAAAAAAAAGATAAATTATTAGCTGGTAGGAAATAAAATTAAGGTGTTCTTACCTGGTTTTGTTTTCTCAAAGAACTGGACAGCAAGACTTTTGGAATTTGAGGGAGTAAAATTGGAAAAAGTGGTAAAGATTTAGAATAACTGCTATGGAGAACTGGAATGGAATCAACTAGAAATTTGGTGAAAGATTTCTCTCTAAGGCTAAAGAGGATCTAGCTAAGATTGAAAAGTATATATTTGACAGTTGAGTGTTGTGTTCACTTTATTTTGTATTAATATCAAATTATTCACCTACATTAGACCATGGATACAGAATAATCCCCTGGGAAAATCCAAGAAAAAAGTCCCTTTGGAAAATACACAAATTACCCATCCTCATTAGGTATTCTTATGTATCCATCACTAATCCATCATGATTCAAAACTCCCCCCCCCAAGAAGTAAGATAGACCTATAGGGATTTACCTACTGAATCTATATTATCAGTTTGCAAAGCAAGTTCCAACTTTTAAAGACAATTTACATTGTTGCATTTTGGGAAAAAAATTTTATTATTCCTCTGAGAAACAGCCATTAAGAACAGCTTCCTGCCCTAACCGGTTTGGCTCAGTGGATAGAGTGTTGGCCTGCGGACTGGGGGGTACCAGGTTCGATTCTGGTCAAGGGCATGTACCTTGTATGCGGGCACATCCCCATTAGGGGGGTGTACAGGAGGCAGCTGATTGATGTTTCTCTCATTGATGTTTCTAACTCTCTATCCCTCTCCCTTCATCTCTATAAAAATCAATAAAATATATTTTTTAAAAAAGAATAGCTTCCTACAACCCACCTAATTATTTTCAACCAGATATTCCATTTCTCGTCAGTTTTTAAAAGCACCGATTATAGGATTCAAATGAATGGATGTTCAGTAATTCAAGGTGATTATTTTAAAATATATTCACTGGATTGAGTTCCTGGAATCAGAAGCTCAGTATGTTGTGTGTGGGGGTATTTTTCATTCATCCTATTTTATGCTTCATGCTACACTTCTGAGATAGCCACACTAATCTTATTTTAAATGTCTTCCTATTGTGTGAAACATAATGTTATACACTGTAATTAAAACAAGAAGCTTACAAGAAAGTGCAGCCA